TAATTAATATATATCTTAACTTTATATTTATTTTTTATAAAATAATATTTAAATTTCTTAAAAGTATTAATAATTATTAAGAATTCTTTATTATAAATAAGGTAATTAAGTTCTACTTTATAAAGTTTTTTTAAGTAAAATATAATAAAATATAGTTTTTTATTATTATTTTTTTATTTAACTTATATTTTTAAAGTAAAATTTAATAAATTAGTTTTTAATTTTATTTTTTTTTTAAATTAAAAGTTTTTAAAATAAGTTTAAATATAATAAGTTTTTTAATTTTATTAGAAGTATATTATACCCTTTATAATAAGGGGGAAAACTATAATATAAAGCTACTTTTTATTAATTAGCTTTATAGTATTTTTCTTAATTTTCCCCTTTATTTCTTCTTTTTTTCTTGCTTTTTTAGTTACTTTATTAAGTTTTTTAATTTTTTTAGTATTTTTAGCTTTTAATAATATATTTCTTTTCTTATTAATATCCTTTATAATAATAACTTTTTTATTACCCTTTTAAGCTTATTAGCTTTAATTCTTAAAGTTATAATAAGTAACTTACTTATATTAGGCTTATTACTTTTTTTAGTATTAATTATAATTATAATAAGGTTATTAATTACTAATTAAGTCTAATATTAGTAAGTAAGAAGCTATAATACTTTAAGAAGTAATATAAAGCCAGAGACTTATAAGTAATTACTTTATAAAGTAATTTATTTAAATTAGGTATATAAAGGTAAAATAGGGTAATTATAAGGAAAATAATAGGCTTTATAAAAGTTAGGTATAAACTTTATTAATTTATATTATATTAGATTACTTTAAGTTTTTTAGAGTATAACTTATATAATTATAAGTTATTATTATTATTATATATATATTTTTACTAGTATATAAAGTTATAAATCACCTTTTAAGCTAGTAGATTTAATGTATTATAATATATATAGTATTTTTTAAATTATATATTATTATTAAATTAGCTAGGTATAGCTATTAATTATGTTACTAGTAGGTTCTGGTAATTAACTAGCCTTTTTTTTATTTTCTTTATTATAATTTAATAATTTAATTTATTAAAATTATTAAGTATTTTTTTATTTAAGTATAAACTTTATAACTTATTATTTTTTTAGAATTTTATTTTTTTTTAGTAATTAATTTATAAATTATTTTAGTTTAAAATAAGTTATTTTATTTTTAAAAAAACTAAATTTATTAAAAATAATATTTTAGGTTAAAATAATTTTATTTTTATATAAAACTTATATTTTATAAATATTTAAAAATTAATAGCTTATAAAATACTTAATATAAGCTTTTAATTTAAGCTTTTACTTTTTATAAAGCTTAAATTAAATATTTATTATTATTATAAATACTTTATAATTATATACTTTTAAATAACTAAGTGTGACGGACTAGCCTGATTAGGCTATCGCGGGTGCTAGCCGCAATTATCCCAGGGGTTACCCAGAGCCTTATAATTAATTATAAAGCTAAAAAAGTATATATTAAATAAGTCCTTTATAACTATTTAATCTAGTATTATATAAATTTATTACTATTATTAGGTTTAAGCTTTAGCCTAAAATTATAATATACCTTTTTTTTATACCTTATACCCCTTAAAGCTTTCCCTTATAAGCCTAGGCTTTTAGCTTAAACTTATAACCTTATAAAAGACTTATTTAAATATAATAAACTAGCCTAATTAGGCTATTATAAGTGCTAGCTATAATTATTCTAGGGGTTACTTAAAGCCTTATAATTAACTAT